GCGCGACGCGAAAACGTCGCTCCATGACGGAATCCCCTCGCTAGTCATCTGCCCGGCCCTGCGCCGGACGCGCAGATGACTGACGTGCAAATCTAGGTACGAGGCTTCCTCTTGCAGCCATATGGCGGCGGGCCAGTTATCGGTTTCAGCAGTCATGAGCGCCCTCCCATGTCCCTCTCCCACTCCCTCTCCAATCCCATGCTGCCATCCACGACCATAGCCGAATCGCCTGCCCCAGCGTTAGGCCCGCTTTTCGCTATCTTCGGTGATAACACACGCCTCCCCAGAGCCATTATTTGCACGCGCTAGCTTTCTGTCTCACCCTCAGCCCTGCACCAAGTCAAATTCTTCCTCTAAGCCAGCCGCCTTCCGTAAGCCGTCCATCTGCCACACGGAGTGCTGAGGAACCATACTGATCCTCGTGGCGACGGACAGAAACCGCACCCACCTCGTCTTGGCTAGTCTCGTCTTGCACCCGCATGCCTAATCACGAACAGCCTTGATCCAAGACGTTATCTTGCGCCTGCAAACCACTCTCTTCCACATACGGGAGTACGGCTGCGGGTTGCAGCGGCGATCTTCAACACTATGCACGACACACCACCCTCAGAACTGCCGCCTGCTGAGCCCTTTCACAATTCCTCAACACAACTCCTCTTCAATTTCCGCGCGGCTCTATGCCTATTCCGCTGCCCAGACAGGCGCCTGGAGGACCTTGACGCTTCGCTTCTTGCTGAGCGCCTCAAGCCTCTTTTCCCCAAAAAGTCAGGAGCAGACCGACCTGGACTCATGGTCATGGCTTGCTGCCCCCATCGGGGGCCGGCGAAGGCGAAATGAGTATCAAACGGTAGTAGGAACGCATGTTCGCTTGTTCGTCTAACTGCTCATGGCTTGCGCAATCTGTGCAGTGTGTAGAGCAACACTCTTCCAGCTTCTCCAGCTCACACCAAGCGAGATAAGACGCTCGGTGCAGGCAACCGCACTCCTACCAAAGCATACGTCCTGCAAAGTGGCTGCAGCCTTCACAGCGTCTATGTCCAGACGGACGAATGACGAAGCCGCCCCCAGCTGCAAGTCACTTGGCCGACGTGCTCTAACACGAGCAGCCTGCATGACCTGCCAGAGAGACAGCCCCCACGCTGCTTTTTCCAAGGTTCCTGTACGACATGCCCTAGACAAGCCACCAAGCGAACTCCTTGATACTTACAGGCTTTCTGCAGGAACGGTTTGGCCTTATCGCAAGATCCTCGCGGTTAACGAGGTCCCTTGAAATTCAACTTATCTAGTGTGCCTCCTTTACCATGACGCGCGATTCATGATACTGCAATCACGGGTGCAATTACAGCAGCGCGACCAATGCGGCACCCAAAAACAGATGTGGCCCGTGAAAGATGCCCTTCCCCGCAGTAACCGCACGCACTTTGTAATTGCGAAAGATGGCGACATTGCCAGGGAGCGGGCCATGCGCTGCATCGCTTTTCCCTCGAAACGGCTGTCAGCCTCAATAAACAATACAGCGTTGCACATAATCCTCAACAAGTATGCATCGACGATGCACTGCCCAGGTAGCAGCAGCGTTGATCAACGATATAGCACAACGTAATGCATCGAAGGCATCCAGACTTCATATATGCTAGAGTATAGCACCACTCGATTCCCCAATGACTATGCTGTGCATCGTTTACGCGCCCCAGCTGCAAGATGATGCAGGACGCGGCTTGTCCAATATTCGTGCGTCTCATGTACCTGTCCCCCATCATTGCCAACATCTGCAACACTATGGGGACCTTCGGGATGCAGAACCCCAGACCACTCGAAGGACCTTGCGAGATGCGACCTGCACCTTGTAGCAGGCAACGTCTCTCGAGCAGCAGGCGAATACACGCTGTGTAACTCGACGACAGGCGCCATTAATCTATCGTGAACGCGGCACGGAGCACCGACCGACTCTAGATTCAATAACGAGCAGCCTCGCCTCGTTGCTCGCTTGAACCTGGTGGTTATCTCCCGAGTTTGGCACTCTCCCGAGACATCGGCCCGTTTTGTTGGCGGGTCGACCGCGAGTGGGCTTTTCCCAACGATGTGTGTTTCCCGGCGGTTGCCCGTCGCTGGTACTGGAAGGGCCTCCCTTTGCGGGAGGAGTCGGAGTGGCGCCGTCAAACCTACCAAAGTTTCCATGTGTCTGGTGATGCACGACGCCGCACTCGTGATTTCCAAACTGTAGTCTAACTCTAAGACAGACGATGGCTCTTGCCTATAAACTAAAATACGGCAACGATCTTGGGGTACAGTTCGCCTAGATATGAGCTAGAACAAACCTGCTTCATCAAGGTTTGGGTCGGACCGCCAGGTTTCCGTGCTCTCAAATCAGCCGGAACCGAGCTAGCGGCATGACTCGAGCCTCGTCGTTTGTGCCGTTCACATTCAGCCACGAATGACTCTTGCATGTGTTGCGCCGCCTGGGGAAGACTCCAGGCTTCTCTTTGGCCTGTCGACGTTGGCGACATCGTCGAGCCTCATGTTTGTAGCCATGGTACTGCGAACGCAATGCGCGTGGAGCGCTCCATTAGCCTCGCTTACTATGCGCTTGCTAGTAGCTTGCCAAAACTGTTTCATCACCTCATTTAGACTAATACTGCGAAATCTTCACCATAAGACAACTACAGTACAACATTCATCACGCAATCGCGACCAAAAATCACCCGATATCCGTCATGGCCTACTCCGCCGAGCTTCGCCTCGCCTTGCAAGCCGTACACCGGGCGTCATTGCTCACCAAATCCGTTCTCCGGAGCCTATCCAACAACGTGTCTGCGGAGACAAAGGCAGATGACAGTCCCGTGACCATTGCGGACTTCGCCGCTCAAGCCCTCCTCATATCCGCCCTGCGTGCCGTGTACCCCACAGACGCGTTTCTGGGCGAGGAAAGCGCTGATGCATTGCGTCAAAACGAGACACTTGCTGACCGCGTCTGGCAGCTCGTGCAACAGGCAAAGGACGAGACTCATGCAGGTGGCTCCGAGAACGAGAAGGGGGACGGAAACGCTGTCCAGAAGGAGGAGTTGGCTTTCCCGAAAAGTAAAGAAGAGATGTTCGAGCTCATCGATAGGGGTGGGAAAGGGGAAATCACCAGAAGAGGCCGAACATGGGTCATGGACCCCGTGGATGGCACAGCGACGTTTATGCAGGGCCAGCAGTACGCTGTTTGTCTGTGTTTGCTAGTCGATGGCGTACAGCAAGTCGGTGTCATTGCGTGTCCCAACCTCGCTTTCCCTGTCCAAGGGGAACTCGGCCAAACAGCGATCCATGAGGACCAAGTCGACAAAGACGGCTTTGGCGTCATACTCTCCGCTGTCAAGGGACAAGGCACTTTTATCCGCTCCATGAACAGTTCCCTTTTTGCTGGACTCGGAGAACCCCGCCATGTAGACCGGACCACGCTTCCTCAAAAGAAAACCTCGGAACTAAACTTTGTCGAAGCAACACTAGGCAAAACTTCTCTCTCCCAGCCCGAACACAACGCCGTTGCTACCACTCTCGGTGCGCAATGGCCAGGCACCATTCTCTGGTCTCAGCAAATGAAATACGTTGCTCTTACCCTCGGAGCTGCGGATGTCATGGTGCGCATCCCCAAGACCAAAGACCGCTTTACGTATATCTGGGATCATGCTGGTGGGCACTTGCTGTTCCAGGAAGCGGGCGGCGTTATCAGCGATTTCAAGGGTGAACAGATTGATTTTGCGAATGGAAGGAAGATTACCGGAGAGAGGAACTGGGGTATGATCGCTTGTATGCCGGGGTTGTTTGAGGAGGTGGGGAGGGCGGTTATGGAGGTGTTGAAGAAGAGGGAGGGGTGAGCTGGTGCGTGGGGATGGGGATGCTGGGTTGAAGGGAGTTGGATGCGGGACTACAATACAACATTATGGTTAACCTAAACTTAACATACACTGGATGTTGAGCGAATGTCTCTAGGTCAGTTTCGGTGCGGTGACATACTGCATCATGATGGTATACATGAGGCTACCTATAGATAGGACCAGTAATCGACACACATCAGATCACAAGCTCTTGTACATTCAGGGTAGGCGTGTAAGGCCATACCACCCTCCGAAGGTATACCGCGAAAGTCACCCTGTCAAACAGAGACACTACAGATCACGCTACAACATAATGTCTCAGTGTCTCATGTACCAGCTCCACAGCACCCTTCCAAGGTTTGCGTGGGGTCTCGGGTGACCGTCATGCCATGCCCGCACCACACCAGCACGATCACATCGGCACGATCACATCGGCAACCCTCTCTCACCGGCACATCACTCGTCCCGAACACGACCATCCAGCCCCAAGATTCAGGCCCGGGCTTCGGGTGTCAGACTCCAAAGCTTGAAAAGGCGCCGTGTAGCGCTACACGAAACCCCTAAAACAGCCTCACCGGACAGTAAGTGACATGCCACGGGAATACAAAAATGTGGGGTAAAGCGGAGTAGCAGCGGCAACGACGACGATGATGACATGAGTCTCAGGTGAGCAAGAAAACGGGGGGTTCGGGTGCGTGCTCAATCATCTGCTTGCATAGCTTGTCAGTCTCAGGGGTTGTACAGCATGGAATAGGGAACACGGAATATGCCTGAAAGTCATCGACATCATGCATGATTGCGGGTCTCTTTTTTTCGTTATGTATGGGATCTGCGCAGGCAAAGATGGAGCGTGACTACTAGCCATAACGGATAACATGTACATGAATGGGGTTTATTACACGACATCCTTGGTATATAGGCGGTGCTACAGCGGAAGCAAGTCCGACGCCCAACTGGATCGGCGCTGGTTGCTAGAGAGAGAGGGGAAGGGGTCCATGGTCATTGCGTATATGTTGTGTACAGCTTCTATTCCTCGTTGTGAACGCATGCACAAAGCATGCTAGGTGTTTGCACAACCCGCTCTGTTCATGCACCCATCCGGCCTTGAGCCGTCGACAGCCGCTGGCTTGTAACACCCTCAGTCTATGATGCGCCGCCGCCGTTTTTCCGGAACGAGACTTTCTCCACTGCGACGTTTTCGTTGCCTTCGCCGTCTTTGCGTAGTTGGTAGACGTAGAGTACGAGGACGTCGCCTTGGACCTGGGTTCGTGTTAGCCTGGTATCCCTCTCCACCCTGCTGCTGCTTGCTGCTCCTTGTGTAACACCTGGGTAAACTCACATCCATCAACACAAAACTCGGCGTGGGATCCTCGTCCTCCGTCCACCACCCCGTGCTCATAGCACCTGTCGCACTCCCCGGGTTGACAAAGAACTTGCCTTCCATCTCATACGCCTCGAACTTGTGTGTGCCGCCCCATAGCAAGACATCGACGTCCATCTGCCGCGCCGCTATCAGCAGACTGTCGCCGTCGCCCGGTGGTATGATTGTATGGCCATGTGTAAAGCCTATGCGCAGACTACCATGTGTGACAACTTTCGATAAGGCGAGATTAGGCGCTTCCACGTCGAAGTCGCCTTTGACGATCTGTAGGTCGGGTGCAATGGCGCGCAGGAACTCGTACGTTTCGCGGTCGGTTATGTTTCCTAGACAGAGGATCTGGCCGATCTTTCCGGGTGCGAGGAGTTTCTTGAACTATATCGTCGTGTAAGCGCATGCGCGTGTGGGTCTATGTGAGACGGGGTGCGGTTGTAGTGGGTGGTGACGGATGGTGAATGTGATAGAGGTGGGGTAAAGCGTACCTTTGCTGGTATATCCTATGTAGCCTGTAAGTTTGTGAGGTCTAGCATCGTGAAGATTCGCTGTGGTGACATACTGAAGCTCGGTCTGGTATGAAGAGGTCGCCTAGGACCAGCACCAGTCGCGAAGCCATTGCAGTGGCGCAGTCGTGTCGTTATGCGCGCAAACTCCGCCGGATGGTAGCTCAAAGATATATGAAGCAAGTGAAGGCGGCTTCGCGAGGAAGAGGAAAATGTAGCGGAAGCTTGCGGGGATGTTGCGCGCAGCTGGAGGTGGAAGTTGGGGAGCTATGCTGTCACTGGGCGGGCCCAGGCGGCAGAACCCCGAGCTTGGCAGGGACTGGAGATCGCGACGCTTCTTCAACACTCGTACCTCCAGACAAGTACTTTACACAACTCTTTATCGCATACGCAGTGGACAGATATCTTTTACCTAATGCCTTGTACAGTATCGCCGTCTTCTGAAGCGAATTACAGATTGTCTCACCATGTTTTAAGCGCATCTTAGCCAGCACTGTCAAGTCTGCATCTCTCAGTCTGCTAAGCCCGTGACAGAACGTCACCTATGGACTGAACCAGTGCTTCCTTCGCCGCCCCATGCATTGTGCTGGCCCTGTCTTTCCTGATCTTATCAGCATGCCAGAAGCAGCTTCATTTTTCATCCACCATTTACTGTAGATCTTCGGACAGAGTCTTGTATAGCTGCCTTGTGTATTGCCTCATATCGGGCACGGCATTTTTCCACTTATAAGTCTTTCTTCCGTTGCTTCATAGATGCATGCGTTCTTGTGCAGTTTTCGCCTCACTCCTCCGTGGCTATTCTAATTAACGGCGTTTTGATCTCTGGGATTGGTTTGCCCAGCGCTTGTCCCATCCGCTTCACTTACGACGCAGACAGTTCATAACCCCATCCTCTGCTTCATTCCAATCTATCAATTTCTTGAGGCTACAACGAATCTCGAATCCTACAGTCGTGTATCACAAAGCCGAAGTCTAACACGTCTATTGCGTGTTGAATCGCTAGAGTGGAGAAGGTGACAGTCTTATGGCGCTTGCTAAGAGTATCAAGAGTTGCAAAGCTGGATAGGATTTGGATTGGATATGTATACTCTTGCACTTGATTCTGAATACTAGTCGAACACAGACAGTTCTGTACATGCTCTGCATTCTGAGTGTTCTATGGACAAAGCTCCGAGACATTCTGCATGCCTCGAGAACGCTCAGCGCTAGGCGTGCATGACCAAGCACCCCGGATAAGGTATACATCGGATGAGGCGAACGACACTGCCTCTATTTCAGTTCATGGATTGGCTGACATTGTGCCACACTTCAGGCGCATCCTACAATGCACTCTCATTCCTTCAACAACCTTGCACCTTGTGTGATCGAGGTATCTTTTGCAGCAGCTGCGGGTTGACGCCTTCATGCTGTCAGATAAGTTTATCGCTTTAACACCTCGCTATTGTATAAAGCTACTGCTATCAGCTTATGTATGGATCACGACACCGCTAACTTTGATCGCCCTGAGCAGCGATTGGGGGGTGAACAGCCTCCCTCCATCAATTCTACCAACTTTTCACCCTTCATATCCGCGGCATGTCCGAATCCACTCAACCCGCCCTTATAGTCATCTTTGGCATCGCCGCTGTCATCGCAACGATCGCTGGTTTCCATGTCAGAGATTCAGTTTGTTTCTGCGCATGTAGAGGGGTTCTTTTGGCATGCTCGCGACGTAGTACGTTAACATGCGATGTTTCTATAGCTTTAGGACATGACTGAATCTTGCAGGCCCCGAAGTTACCATTGAAGCCCAGGCCGGAACGGCCTCGAGCGGAATCGTCCGTAATGAGGCTGTCTTCGAATTGCAACCAATGCTAGCTTTACCACTCTACTACGAATCGCCAACAAACGAAGTACGTACGATGGCGGGGCGTGACGACTAGACGAAAGAGTACAAAGAGGGGACGGAGTTGCAACATACGGCAAGATTACGACTGTGAAATACGTTCATGCAGGGAGTCAATGAGTATCGACTGATATGCCGCGTTGGCTAGGTCTCATCTATAAAGTGGAAACGATCATGATAAAAGATGATGTCTGACGGGTGTTAAATGAGCATCTAGTCGCGTTGCCAAGTAATCGGCCTCATGTCATGAGAATGGGTTCAAAGATCAGCGATTACTTGACTGTTTTAATTCCCTTAATAATTTATTAGGAGATGAAGAAGGGTTGTAACATAAAAATGGCTATAGACTTTGATCTTGTACACAGCAGACTTTTCCTGGAGACCTCGGAAAGCTCAAGTAGCCCAACGACTTTTCTGCGCATCTCGCCGATCTTCTACCTTATTGTTGCACGCTACGATAATTCGTTTTCCAAGACATTAAATTAAAGCAGCTAGACCGTATTAACACGTGACCGTTTTTAGGGAATCTCGTACTGGGGGCTGAGTCCGCTTGCTGACATTGCACAGCCGCCACCGTCATTCCGTCGCTGCCCAGGTGTGAAGTGACCGGCCTCAGCCGTTCCTCCCTGTAAGTACAAGGGGAAGCTAATGTATGCCAATTCGTTCATGGGTACCCATAGAATTTGTCTCTGAACAGTGCTGTAGTCATTAATGTCTTGTCGACCTCGTGAGAAAGGCTTGTTGCACTCATGCGCCGTGCCTCACAGCACGATCGGTGTCTGCTGTGAGCTCCTCAAAGCTGCATTGCTAGGGTATGGAAGGCTGAGAGCGCAAGAGAGAAGAAGGTGGCAGGGCTTTCTTACGCCGCAGGCTCAAGTTTCGAAAACTACTGAGCCTGTGTTCTCTCGCAGCGGGTGGGGGCCTACCGTATGGATATGCTTGACATAGGCTCTCATCATTCGCGCGAACCAAACAAAAGTTCAAGGTCCATACAGGTGGCTTGCAAAATCTTTGGCGGTGAGACTTCCATCTTCAAGCCAATAGGACCATCAAAGGGTTCAAGTATCTCACGACTCTCTCTCGCATATATGGTTCTAATCATAACGTTATTGTTACGGACAGTTACTTCCTTTTACTGCTTGTCAGTCCGTGTTTTACTGCCCACCCCTCCTCGTAAACCTCCAGGCGCGACGCAGTGATCAATCGACCAATCAGATCCTAGCTGATCCACACTTCGATTCCATCTAAGATGTCGGGTACCAGCGAAGGCCCTACCAGTGTTGCACTCCAGATCCTATTCGGTGTCGCTGGAATATTTAGCGTCGCCGTTGCACTGTTCGGTCTACACTATCGAGACTCACTCGGATTCGTTCTATACCGACGACTCAGAAGCCGCCATACCGAATGTACGTACATATCATTGGTAGTTCTTCCAGTTATTGTACGTGGGCGCTGATTGTCCTATTAGCGTATGAGCTCGAAGCCGGACTTCAAGACTCCAATAGCCCGATAGCAAGCCAGATACTCTCCACAGCCATTGCATCAGTGTATGAGCTCCCGACGAATGATATTCCCTCGGCTACACCTTCTCTTTCAGAATCGACAGCTGCAACGAATCAGGTTACTACAGCTGGCTCCTACAACACCAACATCGGAACGAATTCAGAATAGCCATTGCGCAGTATCACGCGATGGCAAACTCCTGCGCATCAAGTACAAAACAACAATGATCAGGAGCGATGTTTGCAAGATATTAGAAGAGTATCGAGACGCTTTTCCAAGTCATCAGTCTTGTATCATGGCGTCGTAGCTAGTAACAATGCATGTAATCTGTACAACTTCGTCAATACACGTAAACTTTTGGGTGCGCCCGAATCGATCCTTTGAACGACAGACCACATTAAGTTGCACCAAGGACAACGCAGTCTCAAGTCGCAATAGTCCTCTTCCCTTCTTCGACATCACCATACCAACCGAGAAGGTGCGCGACATACTCTCCAGCCAGACCCAGACTGATCGCACCGCCAGTAAACCATGCACCATTCACGAACCACCACCAACAGTTCTTGACTTCCTTCAGCTTCACTCGTCGGATCATCGTCCCTAGGGTGACTGCAGCTCCTCCGACTGAGCCGGCGAAATAAACCGGCCCTAAGCCGGCTGCGACTCCGGTAGCTGATAATAAGCCAAGCTGAACAACGGCCAAACCCGACAACACCATCTTGGTCTCTTTCTCATGCTTGAGAGCAATACTCTTGATACCCGCTTTGACATCATCTTTGATATCCATGTGCGCGTATATCATGTCGTACAGAACGGTCCACGCAACGTTACTAGCGTAAAGACAAGCTGCCGCAGTGAGCGCTGCTTGATTCGCCAACAAGTCGACACCCAGCGCAGGGAAGCCCATCATCGCACCCCAAGAGAACGTAAGCCCGAGGACGAATTGAGGATAGTATGTTACTCGTTTTGCCAAAGGGTAGAGCGTAACGAGAACAAGTGACGGTGTCGCGTACCAGAAGCATTCGAATGGGAGTGATAGAAGAACGGCCAGACCGGTCGTGAGCTGTCCTCCGAGGAAGACAATAGCCTGCTGGGGTGTGATTGCTCGTCTAGCTATGGGACGTAGTCGCGTGCGTTCGACGTGTGGATCGAGGTTGCGGTCCCAAAGGTCGTTGATCGTGCATCCGGCGCCTCTCATTACGAGAGCTCCTGTGAAGAAGAGGGCTGTTGTGCTGATGACTGCGGATGGTGCGGCGAGAGGTGTGGCCATGGTTGCAGCGAGGAGTGTGCTGAACATGCAAGGGAAGAAGAGGTAGTATGTACCCGCTGGTTTGTCCAACCTCATCAGCTCGCCGTATGGAACAGCTTTCTGGGGCAGATATGACAGGAAGCCGGTGGTTGGTGGCTTGTAATCGGGAAGTGGTTTCGAGGGTCCATCTTGTAGCGCTGTCGATGCTGCTACTCCTGACTGCAAGTTTGTCGAGTTTCGTCGTACTGAATTGATGAGCTGAGTAGTTTGCGGACGGTAGCTCGCAAGTGACAGCGGTGTTGACAGCTGCCTTCGTCTGCATGCAGACTGGAATGTGGAATGCTCCCGGGTGTATTGCCGACACACCGGCGCAGCCCGCGCTGCATAAAGTCGTAAGAGAGCCATACTCGGCTTTCAGATGTTCAGGCGGTCAGAAGTGTTCGCAATTTCACATGTAAAGGCATGCGTGCTACGTC